GGTCTTATTCAAATTGTGAAAACAAATTCAACCCCTAAAAAGGAATAAAAGTTAAGGATTGAAGAATACAGTTTAATACAATCCTCACGATTCAGGTGCATTAAAAAGTCAGTGACATGACTGCACGGATGCCGTAGTGTTTTCAGCGGTCACTTCGCCGCTTCCTACTGCGCTAAGTGTTGTGGATTCAATCCCTACATGGGACAACACTTTGTGTGATCCACAAATTGTTGTTCTGAGTCTGGGTGTCCTTTGTGTCCGTTTCATGTATGTTTGTAAAGTCCCCTGCGACGCAGGATTTATTCCTAGTGCTAGTATTTATTCTTATAGGTTAATGTCATTATCATCATCATCAACAGCCTTTAATAGTGCACTGCTGGACATAGGCCTCTCCTAAGAAATGAGGTTTTGGCGGGTTGGTGTAGGGTTTGTTTTAAGTTTTCCTTCTCTTTGCAATGTTGTTGTCCTGCGTAGTTTGCTTCCTTAGTCTTACAATACCCCCACTCCGTATTATTAATCTGTCTCCACACGGAAAGGTTAATATGATTATTTTAAATACATTGTGTAACTATATAAACAACCACAAACTATATGTTTATGTGTTACGGTGAAATAAACATTCATTCAATCGTATACTTTTATAGTTCAAGTTAATAACTTTTTGAAAAAACCATCCTAGCTTAAACAACTTCAACCAAAATTATATATGAAGGGATATTTTTACAGTTTTTAATCAAAACTTATTAGATTATTTATTCATTCTGGTTCCGTCTGGTCGATATTGTTTCAGTTTGTATTTCGTATGCAAATAGTCTTTAGGTATCACGAACACACTGCAATCGACCGATTTTATATTAGCTTTCGTTTCGTTATTGACGCGAGAAATATACAAAGGAAAATATTGAAGCGTTTGATTAAACTGAATGTATGAATGTGTATTCTGCATCGCGTGTTGTGGGACGACGTTGCTGTATTTGCACATCCATCATATTTGCTCATGTAAATAAGTTTTACTGTGTAAGCCGAACGTATCACGAGAGAGGAGGTAGCAATTGCTGGGTAAGACTGATTATGAATAAAGAATTGACGCCTAGCTATTATAATAATGTTCAATACAAGAATGTAAGCAACTTAAATCAATAACATACCCACTTCTAAAGACTGCTGAAGACTTTACGTTCAGGATGCTACTTATTAAATCGTAGATACATCGCAGAAATGCATAGAAGATCTTAGAACCAGTGTTAGAAAAGTAATTGAAATATTAAAATATATTTCACAAAAATGGTTTATTATTACATGGTCGCGGCAGGACGCTTCCCTTCTTGAATAAAGACCCCTGTCAGGCAGGAGAATATGTGACAAAAACCTAACATAGTCGTTAAATGTGCATACCACTAGCCAATGTTTTTATTTTAATATTTATTCAATTTCCCCATAGTGAAAGAATATCAATGTGTGATAATTAAATAAGTAATATCTCTTTAACACCCAACATTTACACAAAAACATTTACGTAATTAAACAAGTGTTTACTTATTTATTTATTAGGAATGAAAAACAGTGACACGTTAGCATGTCCTTATAACTAATACATTGCAATTAAAGTTCGATTAAATATATTACTCATACCGTTATCCACAGCTTACTCGTATTTAATTATAAATTTATGACAATTTTGCAGTACAATATCAATGAAAATATGGCAATTTAGAATTTTGACAGGTATTTTAAGGTATGTCGCGTGTAAGAGGTGTTTATATATGATAATATTTTTTATAAATTAAAATTGGGAGAAAACTTAATAAGAATCATAAATTTAGACCAGACATATGTTACGAAGCTAAAAATGTTTCATATTAAATTTATATGTACAACTACCGAAGATCCAGACACTGTTTGTTTTTAATTTAATCCGTCAGCCGATACGATCGTAGGGACCGTCTACATTTATTAGCTCAGTCAGCGATGTTCAAAGCTAAAATGCCAAACGTGCCATTGCATATCCACGTGTTTTAACTTTAACGATGTTTCCATATGACCAATCATCTGAGAGGCAATAAAAAATTTACAACAACTGCAGTCGTATTTGAATATAAAATATTGTACAGAAGGAATAAAATGTGACGGGCAAAATGTATTAGTAAGCACATTAATCACAACAAAATATATGTACATATGATATGTTGTTCTTCAATGATTTCTATATCAAAATTATAAATAACTGTAACTGTATGAATACTTTCTCCTTATTGGTCACGTTCTTCCATTACGTAAAGTCTGAGGAATATAATAAATACGACCGTATCTAATTTAATACTCTTTTGTGAATGCTTCCACTAGGTGGTTCCAGGTTCCATTGCATTCTGCCTTGCTAGCGATTGTAATTGAAAGAATCAATTTGATTTTGACTGAACAGTGGGGTAACTTTGCCCATGATGTTGCCCTCTCTACACCGCCCAATAGTAGCAGCTTTTCGAGTTTGTCGGGACCCTTTCTACACATTTGGACATACCAAAGAACCTCGGAAGTTTGTTTGATAGCACGTAGTCGATTGTGATTTAGATTTATACGTTCTGACGAATAAATAATTATATAGTATATACATTGAGATTAAGATATAGTAAAAACAATAACAAACTAAATTTTAAAGAAAGAACTGATTTTTTTTTAATAGATTTTACAGTACAGTGATTTTATGGTTTTTTACACCTTACTCGTATGTACACATTTAACTCTGAGCGGCGGTAGCCTAGTGGTTAAGGCATTGGACTTGCGATCTAGAAGTCGTCGGTTCGAATCCTGACCAGTACATTACCGACGTGAACCCACTCCTAACACAAGAAATTTAGCTTAGCTGGAGGGGTTAACGGGAATACTAGTAATTCGGTTGCTAGTAAGCCTTTAAAAAAAAACATAAACGCAACAAAAACTTTGAATTTGACAGGATTGTTAGTTAAAAATACAAAAATTTTGAACTAATGATCTTGGCCGAACAAGAAATTTTAAAACTACCTTGAACCTTTTTTTTATTCGAAAGCAGGCTACGTATATATGAGATACATTGCATGCTTTCAAATAAAAAAATCAGGCCTCTGAGTGTTGTGTAACGTGGCTCTGAATAGAGATGCTTACAAGCAGTCCTTTTTGCGAATACTTTCTGCGTTGAAGCTAAGACGCAACTCGTGTAAGGGGTACTGGTACTGGGCAAATTAGATATTACAATTAGTCATTTTTTGTTCCTCAGAAATGGTAATTTACTAAGACAAGAAACTAAAAAAAATATAGTTCTTTTTTTAACGGAAACAAGATGTTTGAAAGTATTAGCGTAATTTTACTGAGTTCGTAAACGTATTAATATTATATTGTTATGTATTACTATGAGTAGTATATTATGTCATTACTTGTATCTAATTAGGTATATTCTAAATACTTCTAAAAACGTACTTAGCATAGGGCCGACAGTGGGTAAGATTTTATTACCTAAGACACGGTGAAATTGTCTAAAAGTATACATTGAAGAAGTTATAGAGATAAGAGAGATAGAAGACGTCTATTGATTCAACAAACACCAGCTCAATCGGTAAAGTATCAGCAGTCTACAAAAGTCAGCAAAAGGTCTTCAAAGGACTAAATTAGTTAGGAAACCGTACTGCTGTAATATGTAGGTACACACGTTTCAAAAGGGAACTCCTCCATAACCTGCTTTTGTTTTCTTTGTGTAGATGTGTTAAATGAAGTGATGGTAAAATTGCAAGTATTTTTAATTCTTTTAGAATAGGTGTAGTAGTGATGTAGAAAACTGCTTTGTATTAAAAACGAATTGATTGTTTTGATAAGAGCTTTTTGTAAGAGAAAAATTGTAAAATAATATATCAAAATAAATTGAGCAGACGAATTCCCACTACGGCAAATATCTTCAGCAATTGACAATTACAGAACCTATTAGTACATTCAATACCTTTTTAATTTTAAAACATAGTTGAATGAGTTCTGAATACTGTAGCGTAGCAGGGATCATAAAGGCGCGATAGCTTCGTCGCGTTCGCTCTCAATTATTTAACCTATTTCTTTTCAGTTCTGTAGTACTTGTACAAAAAGGGTTCAAAGAACGAGAATACAAAATAAGTTCCCAACGAATTAACCAAATAGTATAATATTCTTATGAGGCAGAAGGTTTTTAGTGTTTTAACGACTTATGAAATATTATTTATTCAACTTAGCCGCGAAGGTGCACCTTCGCTGCCCTTTTGCGAAATGACGTCTTCATAAAATGATGGAACAATGGTAAAACATCGGTCGCTACTTGCCATGAAGCTTATGACGACCGGTATCGGTAGTTCAAATCTGAATTGAATAATTAGGCTCTACAAGAGCTTGCAAAGTTTCATTGCGTACTATTTGTTGATAAAACCGAACACCCGTTTGAATTTTGTATTTATTTTAATCAAAGCTTTCTCCTTTGTAGTTGTTACGATTTATTTAAGTATTCACTGTAACGGAAACAAAAATACGTAAGGCTTCATCGTTGGATGCTTGGAGCTATTGAACAGAAAGAAAGACTATGGGAAAAAAACTAGTACTTAGACTTTTTCACAATATTTTCTTTTTAGGTGTTATTACCATAAAAAGGGCTGTCGGAGATACCTTTTTTTATTATCGCTTATGCCTTACGTCGGCAACAGTCTGGGTTGACTGTGTTAAGCAAATGAAAACGCAAAAAGAAAATAAAAATCCATTCTCTTTCTGTGCCAAAATAGATAGGTACGTGGCCTTGTTAGACTTAATGTGTCTGTCTGTCTTAATGTCTTAATTTCTTTTATCGTAAACTCGTATAAATAATCTACAAGAAAAAAATATTATAAACAGCATTTATTAAAATAAAACATATTATAAAATAAATCTACACCATAAAAACATATCTAGGAAAACATAATTATAGAAAGCTGACAACAAAATTAAATATATATGTAACAAATTAGTTCAATATACTTTAATACTTAATCTAGGTATACTCCAAAGATGGTAACTTGTATAAAAACCGAGTTTTCTTCTCTAAATAAATCTACATAATTATCTCTTTCGTGGTCCCATAAGAAAGTGACGGCATTGTTATAGCTCTGTGCTCTCTTTTGCGCTATTGTGACGACAGAAAGAATCCGGTAACGATTAAAATTCATAGCTTTGACCGCCTGCAGTAATATTTCCGATATACGCATGGCTAGCACAGGTGATTCCTGAAAATTAAAGATTTGATTATTTAGTTAATTAAAGATTTGATTAATTAAAGATTTGATTAAAGATATATCAGGGATACCTAAATAATTTCCTATAATGGTAACAATGACCATGAGTTAAAACTACTTACATGTTTTAAAAAAAAACACTATTTTATTATTTTTAAATATTGAAATGAAATAAAATAACATTTTGTTTACTAAAGACTTAAATTTGTTAATAGTTTAGTTACTTTAGTTTAGTTAATAGTTACTTAGTTCATGAAATTTTGCTTGGAATTTTATTGTAGAATCGCACATTTTCCCTACAACAAAATACCATATGACATTACACTATGAAAATAGCTAAACTGCACCAGTCTAGCTGTTTCTACATCCGTTAATTGTCGAATTTTATAAACCGCGTATGCAGAGCTGAGTCTTATTCAACAATCCATCAATATGTGGGCCCCACTGCAAATTAGAATCCAAGTTATACCCAAAAACTTGGTGGTGTCCACAAGATCCAACTCCTTTCCATTTATCAGAACTTTGGTTTTATCTGCTTAATACTAGGTGTAGGAAATCTAATACATTTAGTTTTTTTCTCGTTTAAAAGTAAATTATTAACATTGAACCAGTTCACGAACTTAGAGAGAGTGCTTTTTACGTCATCAGTAACTGATTGCTGTCGTTTAAGTTTAAATAACAGTGAGATGTGATTCGCAAATAGTAATATCTCCTGATTATCTTTTATCAGATTAGGTAGGTCATTTATATAAACAAGCAAGAAACAAAAATGGCTCGAGAATTGAGCCCTGCGGAACCCTCATAGTGACCAGAGACCCCAAGGACATCTGCCCAGTAACTTCAACTCTCTGGGTCCTATTACCCAAATAAAAGATAAGAAGATCAAAGCAGTATTCCTAATTCCACAGTTTTTTTTTCAGTTTTCATTCAGACGAGCAGACGGAGCACTGGAAAGTGACCATCGCCGATTTCCTGATGTTTCATGAAAAACGCAATCGAATGCCTTGGATAAATCACAAAAAACACCCAGTGCATCCTGCTTATCCTCCCAGGCACTAAATATATTTTTCAATAGTTCAACACCAGCATCACTTGTCGAGCGTCCTCTTCTGAAGCCAAACTGTCTCCTGTGTAGAATTTTGTTTGCACTAAAGTGAGTTTGTAGCTGATCCATTATAATTTTCTCAAAAAAATTACCGAAAGTAGGTAACACCGAAATGGGTATCAATTGAAATGGGTACAATTTGTAGTATCGAACGTGCTACCCGCCTTAAATAAAGGAATAATCTTACTTTAAAACCTACTCTTTGATTCAGCTTGCAGTTGCCACTTTATTTATTTTTTACTTCCTTATACTCGTATTCCATTACAGGACATTTAAATACGCAAATAATGAGTTTAATAATGCACCACAAACTAATTCTTAATTGATTTAGTACTTAGAATTTTGAAACTATTATCTGATCACCATATTACTATTAAGAGTGATTACCATATTACTTACATGACACTTTATTGGACAGTATTTCCACTACTTGAAAAAGATGGCTGTAAAATGGTAACACTAAACTGATAAAGGAAATTAAAATAATCAAATAAGCTTATGAAATTTTTCTTTCTTTTCCTGGGGTTTTACTGACTTAGACGATAAATTCAAAAACGTAGATATTTACTGGAATTAGTTTCCTATGAATGACATTCAAATTATACTCAACTACGAATTCACCATTGTTCTTTAAACTCAGTATTACAAATTTAAATATTCTCTTTCAATAAAGATTCTGCAATAGTGGGAGACGAATTCAATGATTCTGTTGTCGAGACTGAAATGCCTGTAAAAAAATTCTGAAAAGCTCTGGCAACGTCTAAGTCGAATTTAATTACTTTATTATAGATTATAAGGAAGTAATTATTACATTTGTTCTCTGCTTTTCCTGTTTCTGTATTAATTATTTTTCAGGTCATTCTAATTTAATTTTAACTATCACTAATTTTAGTTCTTACGTAATTAACCGTTGCGCGCGCGACTGGAGCAGCCGCGGAATGCGCGCCAACGCGCTGTCGGTGCCGTTCTGCCTAACCTTGAAGCTTGGGTAGGTAGGGAGGGAGGTCGCGTCACCTACCGACTGACGCAGGTACTCACTGGGCATGGTTGCTTCGGGGAGTACCTGAATCGGATTGGACGCGAGGAGACGGCACAATGCCAGCACTGCGCAGCCGACTGGGACTACGCCCAACATACGCTGGAGGACTGCCCCGCGTGGCAAGGGGCGTCTGAACGCGAGGTCCTGGTCGACCAAATCGGACGAGACCTGTCCCCGCCAGCAATCATTGCTGCCATGCTGGCGGGTGAGGAGGGCTGGGGCGCAGTGGTCTCTTTCTGTGAAGCTGTAATGCTCCAGAAAGAGACTGCTGAACGGGATCGGGAGAGAGCCGATCCCGAACGTAGAGGACGTCGGCGCCGATATCGCCGTCGACGGGGCCGCGGGCCGCCAGAGAGTGGGGACCTCTGGTGGCAGATTGATTGCTGCGGTAGGGGATGGAATGGCCGGCCTCATTGCATTAAGATGCGATCGGACCGCCATGCCGCGATTAAAGGGGGAAGTGTTCTCCCCTGGGATAGGGCCTGATTAGGCATGGTGTCAATTCGGGGAGGACCTGAAATAACATGGTCCGGTCCTCCTCAGAGTAGGACACCTAAGGCCGGCCGTCGGGGTGGTTTTTAGTGGAATCACCACATACTCCTGGCTCCTGATTCCCCGAGGAGCAGGAGATCCGAAGAGATTTTCCACCCCGTCAACAAATAAAAAAAAAGGTAATCAAACAGTAAAGGTAAACAGACAGTGGCGGGGGCGAGGTAGCGCGGTCATTCTAGCACACGGCTACACACGATTCCCTTCCCCGCTACGCCACCCACTACCCGCTGACATCTTGAGTACCCCGTCCCCGCCACCGTCTGTCACCCCGCAGGACGGTCGCGCACGACGTTGATGGACTATAATAGCTCATAACATACAAATAAAAACTCAAGCAATAAAATGATATATCAAATATTAAGAAAGTCAAAATTGTCATGACATTTTAATATCTACAGAACGTAACGTTTTGACATTAACTGCCAAGTCATATGAGCTACTTTTTAACTAATTTGACTTGACTGTCAACTACAGTATTGACGAATTGGTTTGGATCTCAGATGAATGTTTGCATGACTAATGAATATACATGCCTGGGAAGGATTTTTTAGTGTAAATATACGTCAACAACCTCGTTGGTGTTTCTTACTCCAATATTTGGGGGAACGCATCATATTCTTTTCCTTGCTTTCATTACAAAGTTTTCCTTCTCTTTGTAGTGCTGTTGTCTTAATAATCGTTTTTTAAGCGTAGTTTGCTCCCTTAATCGGCTCTTACGACACCAACGGGGTGGCGATACTCCGTATTCTTAATCCGTCATCACACGGACAGTATCGGAGCAACTACAAACTACTTCGCTTAATAAAAATGATTAATAATATAATATTCTACCACATTCACATAACGCCATGTAGTCCCAAACTAAGCGGAGCTTGTACTATTGGTACTAGACAACTGATATAAATACATATATACTTTTTTTGTAAATACATACATATTTTACATAGAAACACCCAGACCAAATCAAACATTAAAAGTTCATGCATACAAATGTTTGACTTGAGCGGGAATCGAACCCGCGACCTTTGAAATAGCAGTCCGTTACACAAACTACTACGCCATCCGGTCGTACTCGTAAACTAACTACTCGTCGTAAACTGATTTAAATTAGATTCTAATTGATTATAATTGAAGTGTTGATAGTTAGTGTTAAGAAATAACCTGTATAATCATATTATCTAAAAACAACAAGAAAATACAACACAACCTAACAACTTGTAAAAACGTGCACGAACAATGCGTCCAATAGAAACGAGCTGCATTGCGCGGTCATCACAGAGTACTATTTGTTCAATAGCGGTCTTTGTCGCTCGAGGGGTCGGGCTGTACGGATCTATGTATAACTGTTGGTGAGACCTCATTAATTGTATTTACTATTGTGTTTATTTACTACTGAATGGATCTATGTACGACTGTTAGTAAGACCTTGGAATACATTTTCATTTGTATTTACTGTTGCCTTTATTTACTACCGTACGGATCTATGTACAACTGCTGGTAAGAACTTAATACTTCTTTACTTGTATTTACTGTTGTTGTTGTTTACTACAGCATTTATAAAGGAAAACCACGACAACGTAAAGGCTGACGTCACTCTTTTTAAAAACAACCCAGACAACGGTCCTTCGTCGTATACATACTCAAAAATATAATATGTTCAAGAGCTGATTCAAGTGTGATAAGTACGTATTATTGAGCCATACCTGAGGATTATATTTATGGTCGGTAAAGTATTCATTTAAAACTTCATTAGCTGTTTTCGTCACTGCTGGTGGATGGAATCGCACGTATGGATCAAGTTGGTATGTATTCAGATACATTAGAGTAGGTCGCTTATTACTTCCAGATATCTGAAAAAAATGACATAACCCGCTTTCGATCGTTCAGCATATTTTGCGCAGTATGAAGACCCTTGCAGCCGCCGAGCCACCTTGTGCCCAACTTGTACTTGTAATTATTTTTACATTTTTAATGCTCTTTGTTAGTATTGTTTGGAGTCGGTTCAACTTTTTATTTTAAAAAAGGATGTATAGTTAAAGCACTTCTACAACTCTTTAAAAATCTTTGCACTGTTTGTTGATTACAGTACAAAATTTAAGTAATTTGTTTTTTATTTATTTATTCTTATAGATTACAAAACATTACATATTACTCGTAAGGAGAATAGGATATGAATGGGATGGAAAGAAAAAAAAAGAAAAATGTATACCCACTTAAGATTTACAAATCGCCAATTTGTAATAAAGGAACATACATACATACTTATATTTATACACTTGAAAAACTTAGCTAGTTCTAGTTGGTATTCTAAATAAAATATGATGTATTTTTCAAAACCTTACATTCGTTGATGTTCTGTCTGGTGGTCTAATTGCGTTTACGCTAGAAAAACCGAGGGACTGTTTCCGCATTTTCATCCTACTGGTGAATTTACCTGAATCCACATTAGTGACAGATCTGGAGGTCATTTTGACTAGTTTTTATCTGCAACAATTACATTTTAAAACATTTTTTTCACTTCCAATAGATTGATAATAGTTCGTTTAACTGGCCATGGATATTCAGTAACTACCGCCTCCGTGGACACCTTTAACTCAAGAGTGAAAAGTGCATTGGGGAACACACATTTTACTGTTTAAAGGCAGTATCGGAACGGAAATGAGCATTGGTTGTGTTGGCAGTAAGCTGCGATCGTCATGACTCTGCCCTACGCAGGCGTTCTCTTTTTTAAGTTAGTCCTAAATAAATTGAATCTTATAAGTCTTATAATAATTAAATTATATACTTATTTTTATATGCCTCTAAGAAGAAAAAAATTAAAATGTATTCTATTCAATTTGAAATACAATTCGTTCAACATACTTATTATTTGTCTTTTAAAAAAAAAAATGCATAAATAAGTAAGGATGAAAAGGAACGGCTAGGAACAATGGTGACTTATACACGTACAATTAGGTACTCCAAGTATGTTTGACCCTTGTTCATTCATTCGTCATGATATGAACACAATTGTAAACAAGTCGAATACTAAACTGCGTCTGAAGCTCTGCGGCCCGCTTCACTTCTAGACCTGTGATACGCTTCACGAGAATCCTGGTCGGCATAATTTTTATAGTAATCCATAGAAACCAGTAGTGGTTGCAGTACCTTAATTCTGCAATCGCCCTGCGCTACTGACTAGCATACAGTTACTAAAATTTGTGGTGAAACTAGGGCTTCAAATATTATGAGTCAGCCATTGTTTAAGTGATTTTCATGAATAAACTTTTTATCGTATATATTTGTAACTTTACTTTATTAAACTTTTAAGTAAATTTAAGTTACTACTCGATAAAGCTTTAAATTTATTATTTTTTACCACTTTAATTTTAAAATCACTGTTATACTTATTTATGGAGGCAATCCGAATTTATCTTTTCGTTCACCATGTATATTTGTTTGTTCTAGCATTAGGTAAAGGCCAAATTTTAGTTTAATTATTGTAAGTGTATAATATTCGAATTGACCATAATTTATCAAGTACAAGTACATATTTATAGTCAGACGATGGTGTAGTTAATTAGTTTTATATAGACCACCATAACAGTGGTACGAAGTAAAATAGTGTTGTTTAAACATATATTGCCCAAAAGTAAAACTTGACTTTTTAGTTGTAAATAAAATTGCTGATAATAAAGTATTAATATTACCTGTATATTTTATTTTCTCTATTGAATGCCAACGCAATAAGACCAAACGATTTCGAAAGAAGCTTTTGCTTTCTGAATTATGCTTTCCACACAAAATATTATAGAATTAGAAATAAAAGAAACTGATAGCAAACAAATAAATAATACTGCAATAAATTAACAGTACATTATAAAAGCTTAAATGAAAATTATTAAAAGGAAATATTTAAAATAAATCCCGCCCATCAAAAGACATATATATTATTTTATTAATTGACGCATGACGGCTCAATAAAACATCAAAAACCTCTTAGAATTTTGACCAGCCAGATTGTTACTATAGAGGCACTACATTGCAAGTGTTATCTTTTTACTTTTTTAGATATACACACAAATACAACATAAATCAGAAAATTATAATAAGAATCTTAATTCGGCAGTTTTTGATGTGTAATATATCTTTCGCCTCGCTTTGCGCTTGCAATCTGAAGGTGTGATTTTGTGAAAAGGGAAGGAAATGTGACAGTGAGCTGGTGCTATATAAAGAGAGTAGAGAGAGAGAGAGAGAGAGAGAGAGAGAGGGAGAGAGAGCTAGTTATGGAGTTCTGTGTCACATGGAAGGTAGTCGTAACATATCACACTTACACTGCACATATATAATGTGAGACTACAGTAGTTAGTAGCAGTAGCAGTTTTTTTTCATATCTGTTTATTTACTCGATGCTAATGTATTTTGACTTGCAAAATTTTAAATTCGTTTATTTGTATCATAATATCGTCATATCAGATCTTGATAAGTTGACTGGTTAGTTCCTATATTATTATTATAACCGCCTGTATATCCTATATATTATTATTTTCATTTACCAGCGATCCGCGTATTTTAGATCTCTTTGGTGATGCGGTGCGGGACGCGACGGCAGAAACCGTTTGTTTTAAAATTTGTTATTTATAAAATATTTACAGTATGTCACGACGAACTAACACAGGACAAGGGGTAAGAAAAGATCATGGAAGAAAAAAGTAACTGAGATTGATAACTTCGACCAATCTGTGATTAGGAGATGTGTTCATAATTATCATTGAACTAACGATGAACTTCCTGCTGCTGAAAAACTCCGTAGAAAATTAGAACAAGACATTAATTTTACGGCCTTAGAAAGAAATTTAAGGTGGATTTTAAACGACTTGGAGAAAACAGAAAACAATAGGAAGTTGTTAATTACAACGACCAGCATTCGTTTACTACGGATTGAATATCTCCAAAAAAAAATGAAGTACAATTGTTTTATATATATATATATGGATAAAAACAAATGAGGAGCATTACAAAAAAATCAGCATGGGTCAGATTTCAACTGAACATAACCACTCAGTGATTCGGTTACCACCTTATCATCCTGATCTCAATCCCATCGAGTTGGCTTGGGCATCCATAAAGGGTATGTTAGTAGTAGCAAAACTGTCAGCTGGAACACCAACAAAGTAATGGATCTTATTAAGGAGAAGATTGCTGCAATGGGCGTCAGCGAATGGGAAAAATTACGTCGAAAGGTTGGAGAGATTGAGGAGTATGTAAAAAGTGATCATATTGTGCAATTTATTATTTTTGCTGTACGGGTTATATTAACTTAACTGAATCTATAATAGTATGGTGAGATGGTGAGAGTATAACCTAACGGAATGGTGACCGAATATGCACTGTTTTCATGTAATGGTGAAATAACGAGGTAATCGAGGTAAATCGCTGACCGCGCGCTACGTGATATAGCGCGGCTTGTGCCGATACGTGGATCGTACAGATAGTGATGACGTTAGTAACGATGATAAAATCACTCCTATCGCCAGCCCTTTTCTCTCTGAACCTTTTTTTATGTTAGAAGGGGCAGGCGAGCAGACGGGTCACCTGATGGAAAGTGACCATCGCCGCCCATGAACGTCTGCAACTCAGGAGTCGGGCTTTTAGGAAGGTTTGAAGGTCGTATCGGTCGTAAATACCGCAGACGAGAACCCGTGCCACAGATTCCACTTATACCTAGCACCAGTTCTCCTTCTGCTGGTATGTATCGTTCAGCAATGCAGCTCTCATGTGTCAGCTGAAGTTTCTTCACAGATACACAGACACATAGCGTCATAGATTTGATGATTTGAGGCAGACGTTTATTTCATCGGCAGCAATTGATCTTGGAATTACTGGCAGTGTTTGGCGGAAATCGCCAGACAGTAAAATCATTGCGCCTCCAAAATACTGGGTCTACCAATTGGAATAGGGATGACCTGGTTTTGACAGTTCATAGCGTCCATATTTGATGATGGATCTTTGACGTCTCTTGACATTTGTGTTCAGTAAGGTTTGCCATTTTATCATGTGACGTTTCACTTTAAACCAATGCTTGGAAATCGTCCAAAATTATTACGCAAATTAGCGTTCTCCTACCGCTACAGTAAGAGCGCTTCGCGCAAAAAACGGTCGTCATAGTGCTGCTTCTGTGCGCGCTATAAATCGCATAATAACATTGAAAGTGAATTCACTCTCCACGATACTGCTGTGCCTGTGAGACAAAGAAATGCCCGTAGTGAAGAGAATATCGCAGCCGTTCAGGCCAGTGTTGATGCGAATTTAAATCGATCAGTTCAAAAGTTGGGGCTCTCTCCAATGAACACCTGGCGTATTGCAGTTGGATTTGGGCCTACATCCATACAAAATTGTTTTGGCACAAGAATTGAAGCCATCCGACCATTGTATCCGTCGTGAATTTGCCGATTATGCACTGGAAATGATGATCATCGTAAAATCATCTTCTCAGATGAGGCCTATTTCTGGCTCAATGGATTTGTTAATAAACAAAATTGTCGCTATTGGAGTGAGTCAAATCCACGTGTGGTTCATGAGTCGCCATTGCATCCGCAAAAAATAACAGTTTGGTGCTGTTTATGGTACGGTGGAATCATTGGTCCATACTTCTTTGAAAGTGACGAAGAAAACCCTGATACTGTGAATGGGAAGCGCTATAACTCAATGTTAACCGAATATTTCTTTCCGGAATTTGATGATATTGATGTAGACGTAGACCTTTACCACCACCATTACTCGAGTGAACATGGAATTATTGCGTGGCAAGTTTGGTGTCGTTAATTTCGAGAAATGGACCGATCAGTTGGCCACCAAGATCGTGTGATTTAACACCTTTAGACTATTTTCTTTGCGGTTACGTTAAATCTAAAGTGTACAACAATAATCCAGCTACAATTCGGGACCTAAAAACCAACTTTCGATGATCCGTAGCCGACATACCGACATAAAATTGGCGTGAGCGGGTGACCGTCTGCAAAAAGAGCCGCGGCGGTCATTTGGCCGATATAATATTTAAAACATAAATTGCATAAAGTTATCTATCAAATAAATCAATCGGATGCATTTTTCATAAAAAAATGTGTGTTTTATTAAATTTTTAAACCAGGACGTTCTTATTGGTAGACCCCATATGTCGAGTCATTTTTTTTTTTTTTAAAGACAACTCCCGCATTAGGAAAATATCCTGTGTCGCGGGGGACTTTACAAACATACATGAAACGGACACAAATAACACCCAGACTTGGAACAACAATTTGTGGATCACACAAAGTGTCGTCCCATGTGGGGTTTGAACCCACAACACTCGGCGTAGTAGGAAGCGGCGTGGCGACCGCTTAAACCACTACGCCATCCGTGCAGTCGATTACTGACGTTTGCTCGACGATTTCGCAATGCCAACCGAGCCGTTTCACGGGCTGCCTCACTTTGCTCTTGAGATTGAGAAGCACGAAGTCGAGCTATACTAACGCCGTTGTTTACGTGCAATTTCTTTTTTTTCTTCAGTGGTTTTATTCGCGCTGTTACAAATCCTAATTACATTACGGCTTTGTCGGGAAAGATTAGATCTTCTTGGTCATGGCATTGTTATTAATAATATCGGCACAATAAGATTTATTATAATAATCGTTGAAACGTTGAAACTCGTAACACTCGCACAAAAAAAAAACACATCGACCGTTCAACTTCAATTTCAAAATTTTGTGGTATTTTCAAAACAAACCATAGACAACATTACGTGGCCAGTCAGTTGCGTTTTGTTATACTATTTATAACAAACGAACGGCTAGACTGATGTTTTGTCTGATGTTTTTTAATGATATTTTTTTATTGATTAATACCATATTTTAATACTTATTATCCTATTTCGGACGATTACAAATCCAAAAACACAAAAATAATAAAAATAGGTTCAGCCGTTCTTCAGTTATACTCGTAAATGATATAACTAACACGACTTTGTTTTATATAATAAGATAATTATGTATTTAGAAATACCTTAGTTTAGTCTGGTTACTACATATATTACAGATTCTGCCTAGTTTGTGATGAGATAGATGGTCGTGTGTAAGATGTGTCAAGTTATTATTATTACGTATAGTCTTTTATACGTTTTGCTAGCCAATATGTGTACGAGTTATCTCTTCATAATATTTTAGCTTATTTAAATTACACTTTTCCGTGTGGTGATGGATTAAGAATACGTAGTGTCACCACTTCTATTCATCCCGTGTGTGTCATAAGAGCTGACTAAGGGACCTACGCAGGGCAATAGGGCAATATCACTGCAAAGCAGGCAAACTTGCAACAAACCATTTTTTTTTTTTTACGTGTGGAAACCCCCTCGGGCCGTCACCCCACCGGGGTTTGCGGCGGGGTGGTGTGTCGGAATCCGACCAATAAAACCACACGGTGTGCCACTCTGCGCCTGTAATAGGAGGGATCCTTGAACTGCTGCTATTAAGACATCCGGACCCCTCCTAGCGCCTGCCCGCAATTGTGCGGGCACCACCTTCAGGTACATTCTCTATTTAGGTGACGTCCGGCACACGCGGGCGTCACCTCCTCGCGGCTAGCCATTATAGCGGGTCGAGGGGAAAACTTGCAACAAACCATATACCAACCCGTCTGCCTAGCGTGGTATAGTAGGCCAAACCTCCTCCTTTCTAAGGAGAGGCCTATGCTCAGCAATGAACTACTAAAGGCTGTTGGTGATGATCATGATGAAATTACACTAAATATTACTCGAGTAGTACTACTAATTTCATCATGATCACTTCATTACTCTAAAGCGGATTTTTTATTTAAATGTAACAAATAGAGGTTAATAGGTACTCGGGTTCAGACTTGTTAATGTACTCACTCGCTAAGTTTAAATGTATTTTTAACGAAAAACCTTGTTTTACTTTTTATGTGAGATGATAAGTGACTATCGCCTTCCATGGGCAGCTACAACTTAGAAGTCACAAGTGCGTTGCCGGGCTTTTGCCTTTAAAGCTTACCTACTAAGAAAAAAATGTAAACAATTTTTTTGTTTAACTTCGCGATGATAAACGAGTAATCTTTTTAAAAATTAAGTTCATTGCCTCTCAGGCGATCATCTAATTGATCAGGATCATCATCAGCATATCGCAGGCCACTGCTGGACATAGGCCTCTCCTGGACATAGGCCTCTCCCATTGCACGTCACTTAAATATATAACTCACTAGATAAACACCCACATTTCGCCATCTTTAATATTGGTCCCACTCAGGCAATAGAAGGCAAACCGCTAACCGGGCAATTTGGGAACATAATATGCGCATACTTACGAGTATGTTGACAAAGAAAGAAAAAAGATCTTGGCATTTTTTTTATACAGTGGTATTTTCAGAAATATGTAATGACGAACAATAAAATTTTGCATCCAAATACATTATAAATATTTTGCGCCGTACTATCACTTCTTATAAACTGCCAATGATTATTGTCTTAGGTTCGACCTCACAATGGATAAATGATGAGTAGATTCACAGTTAGTTATACTGAGTAACAGGATACTCTTTTTTCTTTTAAATGACATAATTCAAAATGTACCCAAAAATTAAAGTGCCGGCCAGTAAAAAAAAAACTGTGTCATCTTACGGCAAATGATCTTTTAAACATTTTTTATTAAATCAACAAACGTCTACGACAAACTTTTAGACCCAAAATGGATCTCCGAAAATCATAAAATCAGCATTTACATTTATGTATCAATTAACTACGAACATAATAATAATATAATATGACAAAAAGCCTAATTATATACAATCATCATTAGGTACCTAAGTACGTATGTAGGTACACTATATAAACTATATACACTACTACTACTATATACACTATGTATATTATATTATTATTAAGCGAGATTAAGTTATTCTTTATCATCATTATTTGATTTTTGCTATAGTAATGAAGTAAAAATTGTTCAGACGAACTCGTATAAATGCATTTTTTTATTATTTCTAAGTCATATAACTCATAAGTAATCGGTCTTAGCTCTTAGCCGTCTAAAGAAAAAAATCTTAGAATGTTATTCTCTAACCGATAAAACCATTTTTTTTTGTTAGCCGGCACTTTTTTTTTGGGTACTTTTTGCATGGAGCGTGAATGATGTCCTTTTATATTGATAAAAAAATAGTATGATATTTTTGAGCAGAAGAATTATTTAAACATGAAGTACAGAGGGAACAAATATAAACAATTTTATTTATTTCTTTTTATTGCAGTTAAACGAATTATAATAACTAGATTTAAAATAACTAAAAATAAATTGTAATTATGCTAGAAATTATCCTATACGAATATTAATCTTATCAAAAACCTTCTTAATTTTTATTTAAAGTTAATCAAGATACACTGCAAAAACTGTAACCTGAATGAAAGCAGTCGATGTATCTCTGTTTACATTTATACTGCCATCCCTTTCATGGTCCCATAAGAAGGATATTGCATTATTGTAGCTCTGAGCTCTTTTTTGTGCTATTGTGACAACTGATATAATACGGTAACGGTTGAAAGCCATCGCTTTGACCGCCTTCATTAGTTCGCCCGCTATACGCAAAGCAACTGTAGGAGATTCCTGAAATGGTAGTTGGTTAAAATTAAAAATTGAAAAACATTATTAAATTCAAAAAATAAATCTTCGTCCTTTGATCTATTTTATACGAAGAAAGTTTGTCTTGTTTGCGTAATCCCAAAAAAAAAAATTGTGACAGTTTTGATATCTGATACATAATTGATATATATGAATGTTTTATTTATAAAGATGTAAATAATGAAATACATGTGGAGGATATCAAAATGGAATAAATTTATGTTCAGTACTGACAGCCTGTAAATGTACGTAAGGCCATGTCTTGAAGACAATCCTATTTAACCATTCTTATACTACAATTGTTGCAGATCCGTAGGTTTATGAAATCCCAATATCATCACTTTTATAATCATCAAAAAGCATGAGCTATAATCATAGCATAGCGTCACCCTTACAAAAAACTGGTAATCTACTCAAGAGCTTTGCAACAATTGCAATCACCCTTGCACACCCAATTATAATGCTTGTGTTTCCATTGAGAGATTAAATTTGTATTTTCAGCTTTTGATTGCTTCAGCCTTTAGTAAAAGTCCTCAAACAATTGTAATTTCAACCTTTACTTTGTCAAAGTAGCCACTTAAAAGTTACAATCGGTCAAAAACGGTTCCTCAGTCGTGACTGACAATCATTCATATCTCATAACCTACTTAAAATTTACAACTGCTATTAACTCTACTCTACTACTCTTATCTTAATAAAATGATCATAAGCATTATTTCCTTTCTGTTTTAAATAAGCTAGGTGATGTGAAATAATAATGAAAATTAATATCAAAACACAATCACTAGAAAAATCCTGCTGTGTGGTCACCCCGATCCTAATATTTCTTCGCAGGAATTCGATTATCGGCAGCAGCTAGTTATAATTATTACTGTACCTGGGGGTGATATTTATGATCGGTGAATAGTTCATCCAAGAGTTCTCCTGCAGCCTTTATCACTGATGGGGGGTGGAATCGTTTGAGAGGATCCAGTTGGTACGTATTTAAGTAAATTAATGGTGGCCGCTTGAATTCGGGTGCCAACTAAAAATAAAAATTTCAATGGAGATCATAATATTATGTTACCTAAAACATAGATTTTCCTCTTAGACAACCTTTAATATACGTTTATTATACATAATTACGTATACCACATTGTTCTAAACCTTTTTGCCAATTTCTGACTGGTATACTAACTTGGTGTCACTTGTTCTGGGATGAATCATCATTCTCAATTAACCTTGTAGCAGAACAACAGCCAGAAATTCAACGAAGAAAATGGAAATGAGAAGAAATGAGCTTTTCCCTTGTAGTTTATCGTATTTTAAACTCGAGAAAGAATCACCAGAGTTTTACTAGCATATCAAGTTTCACCATAACCTTATTTACAGATATTAGAAGGCTGATACCTGTAGACACATTGGTTTTGTTAAAAAATAACTATCAAGAAAGTTTCAACATTCATTATTAAAAAAAAACCTTACCATAGATGACCTCTCGGCTACTCTTCCGATGCCAGGTATACCACCATAACCGAATGAAGATTTTCGAACACGTACTCTACTAGTGAATTTAGTGAAAGCACTTGAAGTTTTATCACCAATCTGACCTGAATGACTCTTTTCACCTAACACTGATTTACTCTTCCCAAGTGCCATAGAAACTCTGCTTTTCTTTGAATCCTCTGCCATGTTCGAATTAATTACTTTTGTTTCCAATAAATGTTTTGTGTTCTTTTGGTAATATGAACAGCTTATTATTTGGTAAACCAAAATATTATTGTCGTCTTCTATGTGATTTTCTTTTCAACCTTGAAAATGTGTCAAAAAATGTTTTTTTGAAATACATTGAGTTTTAGAGTTCTGTAAGGTTACAGAACTCTCAGAAACTTTGCACCTGCAAAGAGGTTTTAAGTTATTTACTTTAAGTATTGATCGTAACAAATATTATTATTTTAAAATATTATTCAACCCGTCTTACAAATAACATATTTACTTTTAAACATAACTAACGGATGACCTTTATTTAATTTATTGGGCATGTTGTGTTTAAAGTGCCTTTGCAATGGTGATTCAATACGTCTCAATATTTTTATAAAATGATAGGTGTGATACAATGATATATACGGATAATATTCCAAAAAACCATGTAACTGTAAATTTACAGAAAAAACTAAAACTCATATGACACTTTTAATATAAAAAGGAATGTTACCTGTTACTAAATGGTATCTGAACCTTTTATAATATTATTAAGGCTTCAGATACTTTCTAGTCTGTTTGAAGTCTGGTACAACGCAGCGGCTACGTAAGGCTTCATGCTAAGCACAACAAGCCTAATTAAAAATATTGAAATCGATTCTCGATAATAATAATAACTGTTAACGTTTCGGTACAAAGATTATCGGATCAAGGGCGAGCTATTAAGCGATGAAATTTGGTGGATAGCTCTGTACTTTAAAGGCTACGCTCCGACTTACAGATAAGCCATACTACTTTTCCTCCTTCACAAGCATTTCTCCTGCTGAAGGAGAGGAAATTGATGCTTCTTCTGCAAGTACCCAGTACAATGATATATTAAGGAATACTTTGGAAGGTGCTATCCTGGAATATGGGTCTATCAATTTTATAAAAAGACCACGTTTACTTCGTTTGCCGATGCATAAGCTAAATAAATCGCTAGTGTGTGCCCTTGATTCTATATTACCAACATATTTTCAAAAATGTAAAAACCTCTGTGATGCACATTAAATTCTGTATTGTGCGGCCATTACTGCATGTCGAGTAGCTGCTGTCAAATTCCCAAGAACTGACATGGCTCCTCCTAAGTCTCTGGTGCCAACGTGGCAATATAGGATTGAACCTCGTATTGCAGAGGCAATAGAACTCATTAGCAAGCTTATCTGTTTCAAATCGGAGAACACACAGCCGAGAGTAATGCGCCTTGCGCGTGAATCAGGCTTTATCGGAAACCAGTATTAGGTACTGTGATTATATGGCACGAGTCACAGAGTGCATTGACTATCCGAAACAGAAGGTTTATGCATGGGAAAACCGTATACGAAGGTAAAAAAAAAGAGTGGACCGATATGTTCAGAATCACACATTCCAAAGAGACTTATATGTAGGTGGGTTTATAGAAGTAGGAGGAGAGTAGTAGGAGCAGCATGATTTAGTAAGTGGTAGACATTTCCCAGATGTTAAAATAACTAATACATTTTGGCGTAACATATGGTCGATGCCTATCACTCACACAGAGAGTGAATGGATGCAAGATGTCAAACGATCGTGTGAGTCGATCAATACAATGGAGCCAGTTGATATTGGCTCCATTGTATTATAGCTTATACTTATGCTTGGTTAAAGTGGCTCCGTAGTTCACATGTTCATTTGGCATCTCATTTTCATTCATGCCTAGAAAGAGGTTCACTTCCATCTTTCATGACTACGAGAGTAATTCACCTACTCTATAAGTCTGTTCCCAAAACGGTCACGGATCCCAAAAATTATAGGCCAATAACGTGTCTTCCGACAATATAGAAATAACTAACCTCCATTCTGAGAGTGAAGATAACATCTCATATTGCGAACAACTCTATTATGTCACACTCTCAAAATGGATGTAAACGTGGGCACGTGGCACTTAAGAGCTCCTTATTATTGACAAGGCTATTAGCAACAAGTTCGCAGTAACCGAAAAGATCTGGACATGTTGGATAGATTATAAATAGACTTATGGCTCTGTGCCGCATACGTGGCTCTTGAGGGTGATGGAGTTGTACAAGATTGACACAACTCTATGCACTTTTATAAAGACATGTATGCGGCAATGAAGAACGGTTCTTTGCTATCCAAGATGTCTGCAATCTCAAGACGATGTCAAATATATAATGATTAAGCGGGGTATATTTCAGGGTGATAGTTTAAGTCCCTTGTGGTTTTGTTTGCCTTTTAATCCTCTCAGCACTATATTGGAGGAGGTTCCGGGCTAGGCTACCGTTTGCAGAGAGGTGGTAAGGTTATATATGATTTAAAACTGTTTGCTTCTAGTAATTCCATACTGATAAATTTACTAGAAATAACTAAAACCTTTAGTGAATGTATCAGGATGGAATTTAGTGTAGATAAGTGTGCAATCACGCATGTAAATAGAGGCAGGATTGTAAAATCTGATAGGTTGATCATGTTTTTCTAAATGCCAGGACCCTCCACAATCGTGAGATATGCATAGGGATGTAGTAGCAGTTGAGAACGGACTCACTCCGCTGGGTATTGGTAAAGAGAATTGACGCGAATTCGCACTATTTACCATTACTGATCTGATACTGAGATATGGAAGGGCAAAGGGCTGCTTGGACCTTTTTATCGGGCCTTGAACAGGTACTGGCTACGATTCAGTGATCTCTTCGGAGAAACTGAAGGTTTTGTCTTTGCAATGACTGATGAAGTTGTTATGACGAATAATTATCGGAAGTATATCCTGTAAGCCGGCACAATAGACATTTGTCGAGCATTTTATTATCCCTGTGAAATTTTAATTATCTAGAAATGACCAAGTACGGTTCTTCATTACTTGTGGCATTAGCCTTTGCTTCTTAATTATTTCCATGATACTAAGTTAATAGGATGTTTTCTATTCCATTTGTAGTTATTAAAAGTTTAAATTGTTTAACATACCGTTTCAATAGTCTTATCTTATTATTTTGTTGACTTAGAAGCTTGATTTTTAATAAGTTTAAAAAAAAAATATGGATACGCAGGTAGGTAGTTTTACTAAAACGGTTAATAGCAATAAACATTAATATTACTTAATTATAAGAGAAAAGGGACAGATTGGATCATCAGTCCTGATTGTTTTTTTTATTAAGGGCAAACTGTTACCGAATATTTCTGATTTGAGTAGTATTTTCTAAGGAGACCTCCTTTCTGAGGAGAGGCCTATGTCCAGCAGTGGACTGTTAAAGGCTGTTGATGTGATGATGACGTGAGTAGTATTTTCAGTTCACATCAAGATAGTTTAGCTTTTTAAATATAAATTATATATATAGTTATATTTATTTACGGGCCGTCTGGTCTAGTGGTTACTTAACTCTGACTGCTAAGCCGAAAGACGTGGGTTGATTCCCAGTCAGTCCAAATAATTGTGTAATGAGCACCATCATTTGTTCTTTGTCTGGGTGTTATGTATTATATGTATGTACTGAGAAATATTTAAATACCTTATTACGTAAATAAAAAATGTAAATATTTTTGGCAAAATTCCAAGTAATGCTGTCTATTATTTGTAATAATTAATAGGACGAAGCCCAGTAACGAAACTAAAAAAATGTTATCATTCACTTAAAATTCCCTAAATGAAACATCATTTTAAACACTAACTTTATTGTACTTAAATATACAATAAAACTATATAGAAACTAAAAATAATACTAGATATAAATCTAAAAACTATTACAAATTAAATAGTCACAAGGAAAAACTGAATCAGAAATAAAGTCGTTCGTAAAGTTAACATTAATCAAGATAAACTACAAAAAGGGTGACCTGTACAAAAGCAGTCGGAGTTTCTCTGCTTGTATTTATGTAATTGTCTCTTTCATGGTCCCATAGGAAACTGATGGCATTATTGTAGCTCTGTGCTCTTTTTTGTGCTATTGTAACGACGGATATAATACGGTAACGGTTAAAACCCATCGCTTTGACTGCCTTCATTAGTTCGCCCGATATGCGCAGAGCAGTTTTTGGTGATTCCTGGAACGGAGTGACAAAAAATTTGTTTGTAGTTATGACTTCTTGTAGTTTATTAAATGTGATTGGGAATATTCACCTCTTTTTCCTTAAGAGTAATGTGGAATGCTCAACAGTAAAAAAACCCGTGGAAAATGGAATAACAAAGATTTATTATTTATTAAAGTTTGGGCAAATAAACTTTAAAAGAAATCAAATCCTTCAATTTATTACATTATACAATTTACATGATATAAAAGTTTGTCACGAGATTTTCATTTGTGAAACATGAATAAGAATTCAATTAGAAAAGCGACAGTCAAACGACTGTAAGCTTATCGTCGATATTACAACACTGCATTTTAAGTGCCTACAAGCCCAGCATCAAGAAAATCTAGCGACAACCTTTAATGTCATATAAATTGTAAAAACTTACTATAGTCTGTTTTTTAATCTCGTAGACTAAATTGACACATGCAAATGTCAAATTTACAAATAATGTTGCCAGCTCTTTTGTGCAGTGTTGTACCTACGATACCGGTTTGTTGAATCGTAACTTTTTATTTATAATAGACGAATTTAATTTTCATTCAAAGTTTTATATTTAAAATTCACGGCAGTTTGTAGCACGTCGTGCAGCCGTGTGTACGTGTGTACGGCTGCACGACGTGCTACAAACTGCCAGTGAAATCTGACCACGCAACGCCATGCGTAATCCGACCATGTTTCGATGCCTTTAAATAAAACAAAAAAAAAATTATAGACGCCATCAGTGTTGTTCCCGCACGCGTTAAAACGGCAATCTTAACCCTTTTCTCTTACGAAACGGCAGAACTTAAAAAATACGGCAATTATGGAACTTGACACCATACGAAGAACTGCAATTTTTAAAATAATTATGATAATATGGTAGTTTTAAAAATGTTAGATTTTGAATACGGCAACCCTAAATTTCAAAGGAACAACACTGGACGCCATTTTGTTTGCCTTATTCGTCCTTCAACCTCTGAAGTGTTCGAATGCGTCCGTTGTGTCTTGATACAATTTCAAGTGCTATTTTTGTTATATTTTCGTTGAGTTTGTTTGTTTTTTTGTTAAGTTTTGTGGTTTTGTTACGTTACCAAACGTTTGTTACGTTACGTTTGTTTTCGCTGAATCATTTATGATGGACCCTCAGCCTTCAACTTCGTCGCGTAGACGTAATGAAGAAACTATCACCAAGAAAAAAACGAAAGCTCAAATCATTAGCCAAACCGAAAAAGAAATGATCATGAACGCTTACAAATATGTATATTCTGAAAAGAAAACCGAATCTCCAACCGAGACCCCGAAAAAAAACGAATGTTTTTTAAAAACTGCCGAAATATTAAACATATCCAGAGCTTCAATATACAACGTGCTGAAGGAGCACAAAGAAAATGAAAATTTTAACTCTCCGAAAATACCTGGCCCTAAAATAGATTTTTGATTTGATTTTGATTTGACTGCACGGATGGCGTAGTGGTTTAAGCGGTCGCCACGCCGCTTCCTACTACGCCGAGTGTTGTGGGTTCAAACCCCACATGGGACGACACTTTGTGTGATCCACAAATTGTTGTTCTGAGTCTGGGTGTTCTTTGTGTCCGTTTCATGTATGTTTGTAAAGTCCCCCGCGACACAGGATTTATTCCTAATGCGGGAGTTGTCTTTAATAAAGAAAGAAAGAAAGAAGATTTCAAAAACAAATTGGACGATTTCACTCTTTCGGCTATACGTCGAAAAGTCCACCAATTCTTTTATAGAAACGAATCACCATCCTTGAACAAGGTAATGTTAATTCTGTTTATTTAATATTTTTAATTTTGGCAGGTATTGTAATGATGCTTGCAAACTGTAGTTTTTAAGTTCGTACTTACCTACACAATTATTTAATTTTTAGGTTCTTCAAGTCGTAAATGATGACCCAGAACTTCAGTCATTTTCAAGAAGTACGTTACATAAAATTTTAAAACACCTTCGATTTAAGTTCATGACCAGAAAACGCCGCAGTGTATTAATTGACCGAGATGACATAACTTTATGGCGACATCGTTATTTGCAAAAAATAAAACAGTATCGTAGGGAAAGTCGTTCTATATATTATCAAGATAAAACGTGGATTAATGAAGGTTGGTACTAACATAAGCATTTAATTTTACTTGTTTCTCGAGACTGTCGTTTTTATTATATTAGTAGGTATTTATGTTTTTTTATTATTTTGTTCACACACATACTAATTCATTTTAGGTCATACTGAGAATAAGCACTGGGTGGACACCAGTGTGAAATCATCACGTCAGGCTTTCTTAAAAGGGTTAACCACTGGGTTAAAAAGGCCTTCAGGCAAGGGGAGACGACTTTTAGTGTCCCATGTTGGAAGCGAAGAGGGTTTCGTGGATGATGGTCTATTAATATTCGAAGCGAAAAAGGGGCTAGATGATTACCACAAGGAGATGACTTCTGATATATACGAAAACTGGTTAAAAAATATTTTGCCGAAATTAAAAGGAAACGCAGTACTTGTAATAGATAATGCTCCATATCACACCAGGAAACTGGAATCGTTACCTACTTCTAGTTGGCGAAAAGGGCAAATCCAAGATTGGCTAAAATCAAAAAATATTTCATATGACGAGACAATGTTAAAGCCCGAATTAAATGAAATTGCCCGAAAGCACAAAAAAGCCCATGAAAGGTGCTTCTGAATGGGGTGTCACTATTTTGCGACTGCCCCCTTACCACTGCGAGCTAAACCCGATTGAGTTGCTCTGGGCTCAAGTAAAGGGGCATGTCGCTAAAAATAATTAAACATTCAAAATGAATGAAGTACGAAGCCTTTTTGAAGAAGGGCTTCGTCAAGTGACCCCGCAGCGGTGGAAAGACTGTGTAGTCCATGTAATTAAAATTGAAGATCAAATGTGTCATCTGGGCCATATAACCGACGACATTACTGATAGGTTTATCATAGAAGTAGGTGGCGATTCTGATGATTCAGAATATTCCTCAGACATGGAGTCATTATCTGACTCAGATTAACGCGAATACCTGTAATTAAGTTATGTAATTAAAAATATATGTTTTACATTATTAATGTTGTATTATTACGTTTTAAATAAGTACCTACACATTATTTCAGGATAACTTATTGTAAAAAAACGATACTTGATTTTATTAACGCTAAGTTTCGGTTGTGCCACATCACTATTTAAGAATTGCAATAAATTGACAACACTCGTAATGTCAGTTTAGTCTACGAGATTAAAAAACAGACTATACTCAAAGTACAAGTTCTATAAAAACGAAGGAAAGAGGAAAGAAAAGCAATCTACACACACCTAAATGGTTCCTATGAAATTTGTCAAAATAATGAGAAATACACGATGAGAAATTATATGAAATATCATTTATACATACCTAGTACTAATATAGTAAATGAAGAGAATTTTCTGTCAATTAATTAAATATAAATTGTAAATAAATATTTTTTCATTAATTTTTAAATATATTCTATTTTATTCTAAATACTATCATATTTAAAAGTCAACTATTTGACGGAATTTACTTGCTATAAAACTCAAATGTGTTACTATATATCATATAAAAATGCTTCTAAGATAGGGTTTCTTATTACGTGTTGACTGTATTTATGGTCGCCAAATAATTCATCCAATATCCGTTCTGCAGCCTTTTTTACTGATGGTGAATGAAATTTCACAAGAGGCTCTAGTTGATATGTGTTCAAGTATATTAAAGCAGGTCGCTTGAATTCGGGTGCAAACTAAAAACAACATTATTGTTATGAATATATATATATATTTTTTTAATTTTTAAATAAAAATAGAAAATAAATTTACCATAGATGATCTTTCAGCTACTCGGCCAATGCCGCCCACTCCACTAAAACCGAAAGACTGTCTTCTCATGCGCACTCTACTGGTACTCTTTTTATTTGATGCTGTCATAGTACTGCTAATATTTTCCAATTGACCTGATAGCATCATAGATACTCTACTCTTTTTCGGATCAGACATAATAAATATTACTCAGTTTCCTTTTCTAGGACGCAAGCGTTTTTTAAATTAATTATTTTGTTTCACGGTACCAAAAACCGTTGACGGAGATGTGTCTAAGATGGAAAGTGTCAATCTATTACCAAATTAGCTACTTCAGACTATATTTTGTAACTGGCCTAACCATTAACAAGGCATTGAGCATAAAGGTATGACTTATATACTCTTTTAGATCTATAGGTACACAAAATTCGAAAACTGTTACTGCCTATATCCGCTATAGACTTAGAAACCATCCAACCGATGTGCCAGAACCAGTTACAATTGGAAGGCTATAATGCGAAGATGGTTGTAGAGCACTAAAACTACGCATACCTAAAAAATTAAATATCCGTTTTTCCTCCAAATAAACAAAATGTATTCCTTTTTTAGCTAGTAGCACACGTCGCATATCCTCTACTATTATAATTAGTTTTGAATAATAACTTGTTTATTAGGGGGCACGGCAGTGCACCGCCAAGTCGAGCAAAACAAAAAGGCACGGCCGTACTATCCTTTTAGGCCATTTTGAACATCCTGAAATTTTGTGCTGGCTAACCCGTCTGGCCAACCCGTCTGGCCAACGTGGTATAGTAGGCTAAAACCTCATTTCTAAGGAGAGGCCTATATCCAGCAGTGGACTAGTAAAGGCTGTTGATGATGATGATGAAAGCTAGAACCCTGAATTTTCAGTAATATATAGGGCATAACATGACTTAGATATATTCCAATAACATTCAATTTGAACTTGTAGTTTAAGAACTATTGCCCCTCAAAGTTCCTTAGTTTTGTCACTGTCAATCTCACTGACTGACTGATCATCATTATTCTAAGGTACTTCAAGGAGACCCGCAAACTTCAAATTTTACCAACAATATTAGTCTTTAGCCTGTCAAGTTATAAAAATCCTAAAAATATTGCAATTTCAGTCACGATTCAGATATATACAAACTGCATAAGTAAGTTTGTAAGCCTACACATGCAGTACAAAGTTACTTTTGTAGTTCCTGCAAACAGTAACAAGCTACAGCTATAGTGCCGACTTATACGACGTAAGTATGAATATCAATACAGATATAAGTATAATATATAAGCAGGAGTATAGATATTGGTTTGGATATGGGCATCGTATAGTTTAGGTATTACAGTATGTTTGCCAGGTCGAGCAAAATAAAAGGCATGGTCGTCACATGTTGCCACGGACTGCAAATTAAGACCAAATGTATGAACGGAATCCGCCGCTCGCTGCACCACTGCAGCGTTTGACGAATAAATAATTATTTCTATAAAACTTTTAGGGTCCACATCACAGATCGATTCTAATAACACAACACTGAGATTATAAAATTTATTGCTTAAATCCCTATCATATCCAGAACTAAAACTAATAGCCGTAAATAGCATAGATTGCCCCAAATACCTATCGAAAAGAGCTCATGAATGCATAAAAAAGTATGAAGATGACGCTTCCATGACTGCAGTTTTGGAAGAAAATATAATGACTGCACGGATGGCGTAGTGGTTTAAGCGGTCGCCACGCCGCTTCCTACTACGCCGAGTGTTGTGGGTTCAAACCCCACATGGGACGACACTTTGTGTGATCCACAAATTGTAGTTCTGAGTCTGGGTGTTCTTTGTGTCCGTTTCATGTATGTTTGTAAAGTCCCCCGCGACACAGGATTTATTCCTAATGCGGGCGTTGTCTTTCTCATCACGAATAGTTTCCTATATGTATAGCTTATACTATTACCATACATAAAAGGCAGGGTCTAAATAGTGCACTGATGGATATCGGTTCTACGGTATTTACATGCGGGCAGGCGTATATGATCGAGAGAGACAAGTTTGGGCATTTTAAAGAGCAGGCAGTTTTAGAATACAATAGTCAAATATTGTCACATCTAAGCCTGGGGGAAAAGCCCATAAACACAGGGAGTGGTGGTTGAGAAAAGTGGTAGCTCACGTACAACAAATCGTACCCGAAAAGAACAAAATAAGGACTGCCTATAAAAAGAGATGAGATCCCATCAAATACATTACATGTAAAAAGATGCAAGTCTCGTACACAGTTATTCTGCAACAAAACAGTTTTGAAATGTTATGGTAAACAAAGGCGGTTAATGTAGTCAGTACCGGGGGGGGGGGGGGGTCCACCAAATTTAATTTCCACTGAAATGCCTATACTTGACCGTGGAGGAACACATTTTATAGTTCTCTAATAAAGAATAGGCCACATTAGCTCCAGATTTCCAAGCAGATAAGGTTTGAAGCTCCACCACTTACAATACTTTTATCCATGGGTTATTTCCATCTAACAATTTTGTCATAATATGTTAACTTATAACAATTATTTGACTAACAACAAGTTAAAGTGACCGTATCAATATTAGATGTCTTTATTTTTTTAATATATAGAATGACTTGGCCATCGCACACAGAGCTTTACTTATACATGTGTATTGCTCATGTCGCTCATAAAAGTATGAAGACGACGCATCCATGGCTGTAGGACTTTGGAACAAAATATAATTAAACAGGATTAAAAGTAATGTTATGGCGAAATATTAACGTCAGTCTTGGTTTAGTTGACGGTTATATGTCTAGTATGGTTCAAGGATTAAAGGTTGACCCTGATAATAGAAATATAATAAATAAAAGTGTTTGTGTGCAATTCATACACAGCAGAAGTAAAACTTCAGAAAAAAAATTTTTATTAAATAAAAAGATAAAAATATTCATACTGTCAAAATATTATACTAAAAAAAATTACACAATATACAAACAAATATTATTGTGTGTAAAATAAATGAAATTAATTTATAAAAATAAAAATTACTGGTCAAATTAATACAGATGTGTTAAATAATTAACATAAATTTATTCACCAAGGAATTTTAATACGCAAATGCAAAAAAAAATAAAACACGTGAATGATACACCACGTTGTTTATGACACATTTTCTGAAGGCTTCGTTCTACACAGGCGCAAAGACACGTGATAACATAGAGGAGACGAAGATTACAGAAAACACTGTATACTTGTAATCTATCTCAATCTCTCCAAATCCTATATTTTTTTTTTTTTTTTTTGTTATTTATGAATATGTTTGTCTCTTTTTACTGTCGCTTTTACGTTTCATCGAATTTTCAAATCACAAGCGTGCTGAAGAAGTTTTACTTTAAAAACGATGAAAAATACGATGGCCAAGTTATTCTACATTTAAAAAAAACTAATATTGATACAGCCACTATAACATGTTGCTAGTTCTTAATTAATGTTATTCCAGTACCAGCGAGCTGCAAAAGTATCGAAAAATGTATTGATGGAAATTATGACGTTATGGATATAAAATTTATTTATGAATCATGAAACTAGTAAATTATGTCAGACAGAGAGGTATCTAAATCCATTATTTGATGTTGATCTGGTAATGTTCACAAGCACAAACAAAAACCGAATGATATCTGACATAAATCAAACACTAGACATAATAATTCAATGGTTATAAAATAATAATTTATTAATTAATTTAAATAAAACAAATTTAAAAACATTTAGAAATAGGAAAAATCATTTTAAAAATTTTAATATCTGCTACAATGAACAACAAATTAATAAGGTTGAAAATTGAAAATTTTTAGGTCTCAATCTCAATTCAAAATTAAATTGGAAATCTCAAGTGGGAAACATTTGTACTAAACTCCACCAATTCGCTTATGTATTATATACACTTGGAACAGTTGTGAACCAATCTTCTGTCATCATCATCAAGGTTATGTAGAATCAGTGCTAAGGTATGGTGTCATCCTTTGGGGTAACTCTGTAGAGAGTGATATAATATTTAGAGCCTAAAAGAGATGTGTAAGGGCCATTGTAAATTTGAAACAGATGGATAGTTTTAAACCATTTCTTATTAGTCTGAACCTGTTAACGCTTCCATGCTTTTACTCGTATGTATATGAGGTAGCCGTCTTTGTTATTACACATATTTCTTTATTTGAGCGCCTACAGAGTAAACGTAATAAGCACAGAATCTGTTTTCCATCAAACAAAACAGCGCAATTTAGCAACAGCATACTAAAGCAATTTCTTGTTGATACATGGGCATGCACACACATCTTGTTGATATATGTATATGTAGGTGTGAAAGAATATCTCGAAGACAAATATAAAAACAAATAGTTGGCTGTTGCATGGCTAAATAGACTTACATAATAAAAACAAACAGAATGGCATGGATTATAGTCAATTCATTTATATTATTTGGCTCCCAAGTGATAATTCATTTGAGTTCTATTGCCGACAATCCCCAATCCTAATTCAGACTGGCCATAGGTGCGTATGCATTTTTATATTGATTTAAAAGTACAGTTCCTAAAAGTTTCACAAGAGATCATTGACAGGCTTGTCTGTCTAGTAGTTCGATATCCATCCACCCATCGAAGTTAGCAATTAGCAGCAACATTTCTATTTGCCGCAGTAAAATTCATAGGCGCTTTAACTTTTTACCTCAGTCGATAAGTTTTTGAGAGTAGTTATTTCTTGCAATTACTTTGATTTATTTGATTTTATACATTTCTCACAGAGTGTCACCACCCCTATTCATCCCGTGGGTGTCGTAAGAGCCGACTAAGGGAGAAAACTACGCAGAACAACAGCACTGCAGAAAGAAGGAAAACTTGACACAAACCCTATACCAACCCGTTTGGCCAGCGTGGTATAGTAGGCCCAAACCTCCTTTCTAAGGAGAGGCTTATGTCCAGCAGTAGACTGTTAAAGGCTGTTGATGATGATGATACATTTTCAGAAAATCAAATATGAGACTTATGCCGAAGAGTTAGTATATATATATTTATTTTTTTATGAACTCCCGCACTAGGAATATATTATGTGTCGCGGGGGGCTCTACAAAAATACATGAAACGGACACAAATAACATCCAGACTCAGAATGACAATTTGTGGATCACACAAAGTGTCGT